CTTCAGAACATGAGAGAGAGAGAGAGAGAGAAAGAAAGAGAGAGAGTTGTGATGGCAGACCAGACCCACCAATCTACAATGCACACACTGGTACTCAACATGTAGATCACCACTCAAAGAACAAGTACTTTCATGTAGAAGATGTTGGACATTCAAGTAACCTACTTCCAAACATGTAAAACGTATTGGACACCGATGTGAAATTATCCACTGATAGAGGCACCTGAAGATCTGATAAGGTTTATTAGGCATATCTTTTGGGAACTATAATCCACTTGATTCAGCATTGACACTGACAACACGGGTGGCCTCAGTTATCTGTACAGTGGTGCCTCGACTTATGAACGTTTTGACTTGCAACCATTTCGATTTACGACCAGCTCGGGCTGCAAAATTTTGCTTCTACTTGCAACCGGAGCTTTGAGTTACAACCAGAAAAAGGCGGGGGGAAAAGGCAGGGAATTAAAATTGTTAACCGTTGGTGGTGAAGAGGCTGCTTCTTTGTAGCTCTTTCGCCCCAGCAGTTAGAGAGTGTGCGTTCAGAGGAGGCTTTGGAGGTTTCTGTGCTGTGATGGGTCTTGCAGTGTTTGTTTGCTTTTTTGTTGTTCTTTTCCCCCCGGCTGGAATGGATCAATCACGTTTCCGATAGGTCTTGCAGTCATTGTTTGCTCTTTGGCGGGGTTTTTTCGCGTTTCCGAAGGGTCTTGCAGTCTTTGTTTGCTTTCTGGTTTTTCCCCCTGTCTTTCTAATGGGTCTTGCAGTCTTTGTTTGCTTTTTGGTGTCTTTTTTTTCTGGCCAGAACGGATCAATCACATTTCCGATGGGTCTTGCAGTGTTTGTTTGCTTTTTGGTGTTTTTTCCCCTTGGCCGGAATGGCTCAATCGTGTTTCCGATGGGTCTTGCAGTCTTTGTTTGCTTTTCTCTGTGTTTTTCCCCCCAGCTGGAACAGATCAATTGCATTTCCAATGGGTTTTGCAGTGCTTTTTGTTTTTCCGTGGGTTTTTCTCCCTGACCAGAATGGATTAATGGGGTTTCAATGTATTCCTATGGGAAATGGTTCTTTGAGTTAGGACCAGTTTGAGTCATGACCATCTTCCAGAACCAATTATGTTCATAACTCAAGGCACCACTGTATTGTGATACTCTCCTGTATAGATTACTGTGATGTGCTGTATGTTTGCACCTCTATACAGGGTTTAGAAATAGGACTGCAAGTTTGTTAATTGGGATGACATTTTGAATATATTATGCCAGTGCATAGTCACAAATCTCCTATTTTACAGTTCAGTATGATGACCACACAGATATGAATACATGCATGTGGAGAAATAAGTGTTACATGCTATCAGGATACCTCTGCCTATGGGATCCATTCATGGTGATTGCACTTATAACATGTATGTGTTACATGATAAACAATTTTAGCATTTGTATGAAAACCAGTGCAGCTCATTTGAAAGAGAGCAATGACATTGTATATGTGTTGAAACTGAAGCCTTGCTGGTTAATTTGAGAGTTTGTTAAATATAATGCTTTGTGATAACCAGTACTGCTGTCGCTCACAGAACTTCCATAGAAGGAACATGCTCTATTACAATATTCATTTGTGTATATAATTATAATTGTGTTTGTAGGTTTAGATGAGGTAGCCATGTTTGTCCATGCAAGCATATCAGGCAAAATCCAAAGAAACCAAACAAACAAACAAAAAAGAGACACAAAAATGTGGCACCTTAAAGACTATTGTTTCTTAATGTGAGCTTTTGTGGGCAAGTCCACTTCATCAGACATATGAAACAAAATGAAATAATGGATGAAATATCAATTTTACAAGTAGAACATTCTAAGTATTCATTGGCTGTAAGAGTCGGATGTCTGGTACATCTCACATGCAGTAATTTATGACCTATATTTGGTATTGGGTTCTATTGTAAATATTCCTACAGGAGACAGAAAACAGATACAGTGGTGCCTCAACTTATGACCTTAATTGGTTCCGGAACTCTAACTGTAACTTGAAATGGTTGTAAGTCGAAGCACTATTTCCCATTGAGGTGCATTGAAATGCAATTAATCTGTTCTGGCCGAAGAAAAAAATTACCCAAATAATCATTGCAAGACCCATCGGAAACGTGATTAATCTCCAAACAATCACTGCAAGACCCATCGGAAACGTGATTAATCTGTTCCGCCCAAAGGGGGGGGAGGAAAAGCAAGCAAACCGTGCAAGACCCATCAGAAATGCAAAAAAGCAAAGCAGAAAGCAAACGAAGCATGCAAGACCCATCGGAAATGCATAAAAAGCAAAGCAGAAAGCAAGCGAAGCGTGCAAGACCCATTGGAAATGAAAAAAAAGCAAAGCAGAAAGCAAGCAAAGCATGCAAGACCCATCAGAAATGGGGAAAAAAGCCAAAGCAAGCAAACCCCCGAAGACCCATTGGAAATGGGGGCAAAAACCCAAAAAGCAAGCAAACCCCCCAAGACCCATTGGAAATGGGAGAAAAACACAAAAAACAACCTCCCCAAGACCCAGCACAGCACATAAACATAACCACCCCAGCCGAAAACCATGCTGCAAAACCCACCCAGAACAGTTTTTAAAAAGCAGAAAGCAGCACCTTACCTTACCAGGCACTCTGAAGCCTCCTCTGATCGCACTCACTCTAACCGTTGAGGCAAAAGACCTACAAAAAAACAGCCTCTTTGCCTGCCAACCGTTAGCAATTTGAATTTCCTGCCTTTTCCCCCTGTCTTTTTCTGTTTGTAACTGGAAGCTCTGGTCAGAAATCAAAGCAAAATTTTGTAGCTGGAGCTGGTCTTAACTCGAAATGGTTGTAAGTCGGGACATTCGTAAGTCAAGGCACCACTGCATGAGCAAAGAGGAGTGGGGAGAGAAGGGGTATGGGGACTGAGGATTCAGTTAAAAACTCAAGGTGGGGGGAAATATACAAAAGTAAAAGAAGATAGCAGAGGAACCATGTGTGTTAATGTAGGGAATATTGACAGTTTTTACCTTTGAGTCTTGTGATGAGAGATGGGTTTGGCAGTTGTAAAGTAGCAGTAAAGAATAGCATAAACATTACATTTTAAAATGACTTTAAAAACCTAGGCTTATATTCAATCCATTTATATGGGTGTCCATCATGTGTGCTGCGGGTTAAACCGGAGAAGCCTCTGTGCTGCAAGTTCAGAAGACCTGCAGTTGCAAGATTGAATCCCCGCATCGGAGTGATTCCCTGTCGCTTGTCCCAGCTCCCGCCAACCTAGCAGTTCAAAAGCATACAAAATGCGAGTAGATAAATAGGTACCACCCGCATCGGAGTGATCCCCTGTCGCTTGTCCCAGCTCCCGCCAACCTAGCAGTTCAAAAGCATACAAAATGCGAGTAGATAAATAGGTACCACCACGGTGGGAAGGTAATGGTATTCCGTGTATAGTAGTGCTGGCCACATGACCACGGAAGATTGTCTTCTGACAAATGCTAGCTCTGTGAGTTGAAAACAGAGATGAGCACCGCCCCCTAGAGTCGGACATGACTGGACAAATTGTCAAGGGGAACCTTTACCTTTACCATGTGTATAAATTTTATCTTAGCTGTTTCTCTCCGCCTTCTTGATTTGTATTGATTCCAAAATAGTGACTCTCAAATCTTCTATGGCGTGTCCTGGTAAACTGAAATGGTTGTAGACAGGTTTCTGTATATTGTGGCTTCTGATGTCCCATTTGTGACCGTTGATGTGTTGCCATAAAGATTGTCCTGTTTGTCCTATGTAGAGGGGCATTATTAGCAAAAGAGGGCATAGATCGCATTAGCTGAGGAGCAAGTGAATGTGCCTTTGATATTGAGTGTGGCATTATTAGGTCCTGTAATTGCGTTGCCAGAATAGAATAATTTTGTTTGTAAGTACAGCTGAAAAAACTTTTCCCCTTGCAGAACAACATTGCACACTATTTTCTGTGTGGAATAGTATTTATAAAGTGTCTTGAACATGCCATTTTTACAGCAGTATTTTTCTAAGGGTCTCATTTTTAAAAAAAATTTTTTTTGGACTTATATACCGCCCCATAGCGCTACAAGCACTCTCCGGGCGGTTTACAATTTTAATTATACAGGCTACACATTGCTCCCCCAGCAAGCTGGGTACTCATTTTACCGACCTCGGAAGGATAGAAGGCTGAGTCAACCTTGAGCCGGCTAACTGGGATTTGAACCCCAGGTCGTGAGCACAGTTTTAGCTGCAGTACAGCGTTTTAACCACTGCGCCACGAGGCTCTTATACATCCAGGGCTTTTTTTGTAACCACTAAAAACAAAATAACTATTACATTTGCTGGATTTAAAAATGCATATAGCTAAAACTATGTAGATGGGCATTTCAGCTACTTACATAACTCTCAAATTTGTGATGAACTGATCCTTTCAGATAAAATATTTAATAAATACAATCCTCAAAATCCTCTTACGTAGCTGTTGAGAAGGCGTAACATTTGGAGGTAAATTGCCTCAAGGTAAGACATCCCTCTAGACATTATCTGTTTCACACTAAGTAATGCGACTTGGTATACAACAGATTATTTACAGTATATGGAAATTCCTTGAGATAATTTGCTTTTCAAAGCCATGCTGTTGTGTCTCACCAATGTAAGTAGGCAAGAGGATATTTTCCCTTGTTATATAGTTTATAGTAATCTGGATGCCTGAAACTGCTGATGGTGGGAATCCATTAAAGAGTGAAAGGAGGGAGGAAGGGCAGGAGGAGGAGATACATACTGTATATGTGCACACTGGGTTGCAGCAGTGGTGACCATGTATAACTTAAATAGTGGATACCGACTCAGCAGATATGGGGGACTAATGTACATAGTAAAGCATAGTATTTTAAAAATTTGGTTGAATTATTTCAGTTCAAACTAAAACTTAAAATACACATACATTAATGGGAAAAGGTGGCAGTTTTACATAATCATAGTTCTGACGTGATTATCATTTCCTTTTCATAGAATGTTGGCTTTGAAAGCTCAGGGAAGAAGTTGCAGGGAGAAGAACGTAACTCAGTGGTAAGTAAGACACTTTGTCTCAATAACGTATTAATGCATTATTTATGTTTTTAAACTGGAAAGGTCTACTATCTTTGGCTAGAAAGCCACACATTAGGTCCATGTTTTGATGTGTATAGTTTTAAAATGTATTAAGCAAAGGAGGAAGACCTTTACTCCCTCCCATCTAGTTGTTCACTCTTGCATTTCAAATATTAACAGGTTATTTTCTGAAAAGGTAAATTCTGAGTTAATGCTCCCAAACTCTCTTAGTTTTCCCTTGCCCTAGCCATTAAAACCTGAAAGCTGCCAATCAGAGATATAACAAGAAAAATGTACAGAAAAGGGAGAATTAAGTTATGTATGAAAAGTTGAGATTCTAGGGGATACAGATCAAATTTTACTAAACTTAATTATAGTCTGTGACTAAATTATAGTCTGTGACTAAATAACACACATATTAACTTGCAGATCTAACTGGTCTTTTGTCCCAGTTTTTCTGTTGAGGATTTATTGTTAGATAGTACTGAAGAGCAAATAATTTGGCTACCATAATTCTAACAAATGTTAGTGTAAAATTGTGCATGTCAAAAAAGAAAGGATAGATGGGGTAGTACTATACTTGAGTACAGAAGCACAGGACATGTCCTAAATTTGTCACTTTTAAACAAACCAACATTTCTACATGCAAACTAGGTTCTTAAGTATTTATCCTGTCAATTCCCACTTGTTTTCATAGTGAATAAAATTATAGCCAGTTGTGGCTGGCTTCCATTTTTCCCTCTTAAAAAGTTATAGCAGAATAAAGAGACTGCTTTTTTTTTTACCCTTGAAAACGGATGAACACAACCTGAAAAGGCTTTGTATATATTATGAACTTTCATAGTACTTACTCTTCTTATTTTTAAATGCATACGTGTACGCTGCCTGACATATTCTGTGCTGCTTCCTAAGCCTGTTACTATTTTTAGCATGCTGTGTTTCTTTTCAAAAAAAACTCTTTCCACAACAGTGCCTGAAAATGACAACAAAACGGAACTTATTTGTGCGGTTGGTGCCATGCCGCTGTTTACGTGGAGAAGAAGAAACTGTCACTGCACTTGATTACTCTCACTGCAGCCTGGAGCAGGTGCCTAAGGAGATTTTTACTTTTGAAAAGACATTGGAAGAACTATATCTAGATGCTAATCAAATTGAAGAGCTTCCAAAGGTGAGTTGCATTCTGATGTAATGTTTGTATGTATCTACATGTTTGTACTTAAGAGGACGCTTAAGAGACATGGCATGGAACTGAGATCATCTACTCACTTTATACGTCTGACTTACTGCCCCAGGACTGATATTACAAAGCTTAACTTCAAAATTCTTGGCAGATATATGAGCATTGAAGTAAACCAAAGTTAAATGATTCCTGAATATTGTGGCCCATTTGGTAACTATTTCTCTCATGCTTAAGTGAGATCCCTTTCATTTTAGCAATTGGCAGTAATGATTCTCCTTCAGCCTTAATTGTGCTTTTGCTGCAGGTGTCAGGACTAGCAATAGCAAAACTTTCTGTCTCTGGTTTAAGTATGTTTTAAATGACAAATGCCCCTGCTCCTGCCCCCAGCCCCAGAATAGCATTTCACTTGGGTTATTTGAAAGGAAAACTATCAAAGATTAGCCTGTTGAGTGTGGAGTTATGCATATGTGGCACTGTCATGATGGCTATGATCTTTTTCCATGTTTGGAAAACGACTAGTTCTCTATAGTCTGAGCTGCTCATTGCATATCAACAAACTCGATCAGCCTTGCAGTCAGACGCCAACTGAACATTCACCAGAAAACTTGGGAAACAAATGCTTGCACACTTATGATTGAAAAGGGCAATAGGATTCTGGCTGATAAAGTTTTTAAAAAGTTCCTGTTGCCACACCTTTTTAAAAAATCACACTTGTGGAGGCAAAAAAATAAAAATAAAAATAAAAATTGCTCCCTCCAGAAAAGAGAAAACACTTGGTTTCTTATAATATTTAGAAACAGATTTACGAAATGTAACCTGGTTAGTGTTAACTATGGTGATATGGAAAGGAATTGGGACTTCACAATTTGGGGGGAGGGATAGTTCAGGTTTGTATTTCGTAATTATGGATTCAATGAGGCAAGTGTGCCAGCTAATGACCAAAATCCTGTTGCACACTAAGCAAAAGGATTTTGGTCAATAAATACCCATGTGTCTCAGCAACTTGGTTATCACATCATTGCAAAACATTTTTGAGTCAGTCATGAGAAATGTATTGAAACATGTTTTTAGGATTAGAGTGTTTAAACATAACACTTTAAATAAGATATTAATGTTTGCCATTCCAGTTTTCAGATAAAAACATATTCATTCTAATATGGACAAGTCATAAATAACTTCATTAGATTATTGGTTCTCTTTTTAATCTCCATGCTTTTAAAAAATAATTTCACTAATATGAATTTTAACAGTTATTTCATATTGTATCCTTTCTCACAACATCCTGTGAGTTGTGATGGCTTGAAAGATGGTGACTGGCCACTGAAAGATGATCTTCCCATGAACTACATGGCCAGATATATCTTTGATGTTTGGCTTCGTATTCTAGTCCAACTCTCAGCATTTTACTGTATCCTAACCCCACACATCTTTCCCTGTTGGCTAGCACTGTTATAACGAGTCATTGCAAAAATGTTCATTCTTGATGGAATGAACATTTTTGCAAGACTTCTTACACAAGTGAGATTTCTCAGCTTCTCCAGAATGCAAACTCTACTCTTGCTTCTCCTTTTTATTCTGTCCCCCACAATTACCGGCTCTTTTTCTGTGTAGGATGCTGCCAAAATGTCTGCAACTTAATTCCCTTTCTGGTGAATCCTACACAGGAAAGATGCTATTCTGTAATGCAATTGTAATAATCCTACACAGTTTAGAGTTTCTTCTGCCCTTTCCATTTAAAAAAAAAACAACATGAATTGTTGTAGTCTTGTGCAGCATGCTGTTTTCTTCCAGAAAAAAAAAGCCAAAAAATCTAAGAAATTCCGTAAGATTTCCTATAAATTTCTTGGAAATAAGTCTCACAGAAAGAAATAGTGCTGAAAGCAAGAGGCTGTGAGTTACATATCCCTGGTGACTTAAGGTATAGCAATATGAATATAAATAGAGTATCATCTATTGTGCACGACCTAATTGTTTTGAATAAACAGACTGTTGGTATAGCAAAGGGAGGGAGAATTTAGGCATGGAAACCACATTTTCTTCTGCCTCTCTGCCCCTTGTCATAGCCTGGAGATGATCAAAACAATGCAAAACAGGGGTCTTAATATGAGATTTTTGCACATTTTTGCATTAAGGGGCATTGGAACTGGGGAGGGACCAAAAGTTGCCTTGGGGGACTGACCATGCCCTGTAGGCTGCACTTTACCCACCCTTGAGCTGCAAATCTGAGTTGACTGTTTGAAAGGGTCCTTCTTATTAAGAGGCCTTAAACTGAGTCCACACCCATAAGAATTAAAGGCCTGTAACAATTGGTTAATATGTTACACATCTTAAACATGGTGGGCTTTAATGTTTCTGCAGCTTTGCCCAGATCCCAGCATGTAGAACGAGGAACCTTGTTTACAAGACTCTAGTGCCCAGAAACTTTTATCTTTTTCTTTCCTAAAAGATAATGTGACTTTTCTCCATAGATTCATGTTCTTTTAGGCCAGAAATGGGCTTCAGGTAGTTTTGGAGTTGCAGTACTCTGAATCCCTCACTCTTGGTGATGCTACTTAGGGCTGTTGGGAACTGTAGACCAAAACCATCTGAAGAGACGCAATTGCCCATTCCTGCTGTACATACCTTGCCCGTACCTCTTCCCTTTTCACAACAGAACTCTGTGGAGAAGCACACAAATATCCATCTACTAAATGTAAAATACACATATTGATTATATAAAATCAAGTATTGGAGCCACTGCTCCTTTCATAAGAGCTACTGTATGCTTTAAAAAAATCTTAGGATCAATAGGCAAAAGAACAAAGCAGGCTTAAATAATTATTGGTGGTAAACATTTCAGATTGTGTGGATTACTGACAGTTATAAACTACTTCTTTACAATATTTGGTTTGGTTGCGTTACTGTGACAGACTTAAAATAATTAAAATTAGATATGTATTAGTATGCTCATAAGATATCTATATATTTTGTCTTTTTCTCATTAGCAACTTTTTAATTGTCAGTCTCTGCATAAGTTGAGTTTGCCGGACAATGATCTAACAACATTGCCTGCATCCATAGCAAATCTTATTAATCTCAGGGAACTGGATGTCAGCAAAAATGGTAAGTCATCTTGTTTGTTGTTTTGTTGTTGTTGCTACATTTACAAGCACTAAAAGAGCAGGATTGTGTAATTTAGGTTTCTGATTGTGCTCTGGAAATAGTTTTAGGATATGAGATCTCAAAAAATGAGTACTCGTCTTGCTGAACTAATGTTTAAATGTGTTTTAGTACATTATTTTTTTTAAAAAAAGCATATGGTATCACACTTGAAGCAAAAAGAAAACAATTTGGATGTTTGCTTTGCTGTATCTGGTTTTTAAAAAATATTTGTTGAGTGTTTTTGCTATTAATAACAGAGCAGATGATGATTTCGTATTTATGGATTGTAACTTTCTGTATCATTGTGCCAAAGTACCAATGAATTCTATAAGCATGTGGAATGCTGCTCATGTTCACAGTGTTCTTGTGAGGATTATCACAGTATTCTGTAGAAACAATACGTGTATTTGTTACAAAGCATATCATAAGGGTAGGACTTAGAAGATAGTGGCCAAAATCCTGTTGCTTAGCTTCGTAAGCTGCAACTAGAGTAGGTCTGTTTGAATCAGTGTAACTTAGAGGAGATGACTCACTAAATCCTGACTGATTCATTGAGGCTGCTTTAGTGCAACTTAGCACTCTGAGAAACAGGATTTCAACCATTGAGTTTAAACATGGAGGTGAATGTATGATAAATAATGGCGGTTGTTGTGTGGCTGCTGAATAATCTGTCAGAATGGTAAAAATTATAGATGGGCATGAACCAGAAAACTGGTGGTTTGTGGCTACCCACATACCATGAACTATCATGCCACCCCCCACCCATGAACTGGTTCGCGGTTTGTTTTTTGGGTCCTTGCAAGGAGGCAGGTCTGCTGCTTGTGCACATCCACCTGCCGCTCAGCTGCTTGTGCACATCCACCTGCCGCTCAGCTGATAGGCGGGCACATGTGCCCATGTAGCAGGCCCAGGCCTGCTGATTGTCAGGATGGTGGCAGAAGTAGAGAAAGTGGTGGCGGCAGCAGGGAGCTGATGGGGGCAGTGAGAAAGGGGAGTTGGGCAGGCATGCCCTTTTGCTGAACAACAAAGCAAAAAAAGGATAAAGTTCAGCACTTTGTTTCATTTCATAAAATGGGATCCCAGGACCAAACCAAGAACCAACCTAGTTTGTGTTTTTTTCTGGGTCATGGTTTGGTTCATGCCCGTCTAGTAAAAATCAAATGATTTTTTGGAAAGGGGAATTCTTTGTGCAATTATACTAAGAAGTATTTTTGGCACCTTAAAGGCTAATAGGTTTATTATGATGTGTGCTTTTGTGAGCTACAGCTGAGTCATCAGATGCATAACATGTTATCCAGAGTTTCAGCTATTCATACAGTATCTTTTAAATGTTAGAATATTTTACAATATAAAGTATACCATTCATTAAAAAATTGTCTTCTAATTCTGAGGTCAGGGTCAAAGAATTCTGTATGCTTTTAAATGTTTTAAAAGTTTTTAAATAAGAAATTTTCCCATCTCATATGACATGCCACCTTTCAAAATGAGCAGACATCACGGTCTGCTGTGTTTTTGGGGAGCACATGAGATTTAAGATCCACAGATACTGCTTAAGATCCTTTTGGGGAACTGTAGCAGTGTATTTGTATTGACTATTAAAACAGCCTAAATTTTTGCTAGTAATAGCTTTAGCTTTCACTCTGTACAACAGGCATTTCTTACACAGCAGCACAGCAGCATGGTTTCCAAGGAAAGTGGTTTGCTTAATAAGTTTAATTGTAATGATTTGTACTTTGTTGATTGATTTTTGTTTTGCCTTAACTATTTAGATCAAGAAAAGCACAGTCCACATGAATCCCAGCACTCATGCCTCAAAATTTTAAAAAAGAAAGGGGGTGCTAGAAAATCTTACTTGAGTTTGCTGGAGGGGGGGGGGTTGACAGTGTGACTTTCTCTCTCTCCTTCCCTCAGAAGTGGGCTTTTTCCATTAAATTTCCATAAAATTTAAGTCAAATGTATTTTAGGTGTGGAGGAGTGGGTTCAACCCTCCATCATCCAAAATGATATGTGAGGGGCCTGAGCCTTTGGAAGTTACATATTCTTGATTAGATTAATTATTAAACTTTGCTAAACTAGCAAGAAAGCTTTCAGGTAATCAGTTCTCATAGTCTGGTCTGGTTCAGATATCCCAGTCCAACAAACCACACCTCCTTATTTTCAGAATGTGCCCTCTGACTCAGCTTCACTGCCTTCCCCTACGTTCTTGGCTTAGAACAAGATTTCTTGGTTTGCCAAACTACCGCTTGCCATGATGTTCTAGCCGGGAAACTGTGACATGAGTGCTTTTTAGAAATCAGGTTCAGGAAAATTTTATTGATTCGTGTAATTAAGGCTCATTAAACACATTTCGTTAAAAATATATTACAAGTTATATTGCATAAAATTGCAATGTGATTTTGTCTTTGTTCAGGATTCCAGTCATTCTAATCAAGATCTCGTTTTGGCTTTTCACATTTCCTCTGCTGCAAATAGTCAGCCCATTTTTACTGAACATGCTTACTTTTGTTTGGACTGGGCTTTGAGGAGGGATTTATTCCTCTGAGGATTATCTTAAGTATTTTTGTACATTTGTAAAACTCAGCCCCATCCACCCACTCATTTGCTTGTGTGTTGAAGGTGCAGTTTTGGCGTCCATAAGGAATAGCACTGACATAATTGAGAGCTGTTCCCTTTTCTTCTTCATCTTGATTAGCAATATTATTCTTCCTCTTGCCTATATTCTTATCTTTATTTCCAAACATCATAGTTAAAATCCTTTGTGAAGAAAACTGCATGTGCAAAGGCAGTTGTACAAGTGGTTCATCCTTTTCTCTTGTTTTCTGCCACTCAGCCAACCAACTTGGCATGTAATTGCTTGACTGACCATAGCAGATTCTGGAGCACAGTGGATGGCCAGATCCAGAGCCTAGGATCATTTGTGTCACTTTATTGCTGTCAGTTGCCCAGGGTAGTGCCTTGCATTGATTGGGTGGTATAAAAGTAGTAGAATGTATCTATGAATGAATTATGTTTTCTCAGTTATTCTGTGTGATCAGTGTGGGATTCTCACTATGATGAAGAGAAGCAGGTGTTTGACAGTACAGTAGTTAGATTAAACATAACTTTTTTGGTCCATGTCAACACAAGGCAAAGTAAATATGAACAAAGCTGACCTGCTTTTAACTTAACACATGTAACTTTTAAATAATGTTTTCCCATTATCCTTTCAAGTGTTTGCCAGGACTCTTGAGGAATAATTAAAAATAATCTTCAATTCATTAAACATTTGTTGTAGACTATTTATTTCTTTTCCCAAAACTATACCTCACAACCCTGCACATCAGTTTGTTGTTATGTGCCTTCAAGTTTCTTCCAATTTATGTCTGTCCTATAAATTAATGATCTCAAGTATGTCCTGTCATTAACAGCCCTGCTAGGGGCTGTGACTTTATAGGGCCATTCATTTCATATTTCATCTTCCTCTTTTCCTGTTGCCTTCAGCTTTCTCCAGCATCTTTGTCTCTTCCAGTGCATCTTGTCTGCAGAGAGTTTGGGCTGAATGTTAAAAACAGGTCTTCCAATATGTTACCCAGTTTAAGTGTTGTTTATTTTTAGGTATTGTGTCTTATTGGGTGCTGCTGGGCTTGATTATATTATTGTATAATTTTGCTATCTTGAGTTTGTATTCAGAATTGACTTACAGATTGTATGAACTACAGTGAATTTTTTAAAAAGTGAGTAATAGCATAGAAACCTTTGAAATGAACAATGTGGGGCATAAAATGTGTATGAAATCCCTAACCATTATTTTCCCCATAGGCAACAAAAGCCAACACATTTTGATACTTCCAGTGTTTCTACAGTGTCTACACTTAAAGGGCAAGCTCTGTTAAGTGTAAAGCAGAAGGGATTTCATAGCTGTGGGACAGCCGCTGAGAAGTGTTTTGGTCTTCCTGCATACAATAAGCAAGGCAGCATTCCTTGGCAGATCAAAACGTTCACAATGGAACATAGGCAAGGAATTGACCTGTAAGGTATGCTGGAACAAAACTCCAGTGCAGCCATATTTTAGGTCATCTTTCTAGCAGGGAAATAGGCAGGAAAATCTTGAAAGCATAATTTGATCTCAAACAGTTGAAGCTAGATATGGTGCTGAGATAGCGTGTCCCTTTCTGATAGAGAAGTAAGCAAGTTTATTCAGCAAAGTCCTTGTCTCCTGCCAGGGACTCCAAACTGTTCTTAAGCTTGTCTAAACTTGTTGTTTCAAACCTCTTATGACATCTATTAGGTCTTTTTTCTTTGAATTCCTCATCGCTAATTAAGATTAGCTCATAGACTTAGACATGTCTGTTGAATTTATGTAATGCATTACATTGGTAGAATTCTGTTGTTTTCAGAGTTCTCTGTCTCTCTCTCTCTGTCTCTCTTAGAAATTAAAACCCTGGTTTGGTACAGATTTTTTGTTTTTAACTGTCTATACAGGAAAACATACATGATTTGAAAATAAACAGAGCAGATTACTATGCAGCATTTCAGATGTTTATAGAATTGAACCAAACTTGTGAGATATTATCTTCTTGTTTAAGTATATATGTCTGCCATTAAATTGCATGATAAGCAAAGAGTAAAAACCCAACATAGAAGTATCCAGTTCTGAGTAGAATTGGTCTTTACCAGCCATCCAAGCAGAGTGATATTCAAGGCAGTCTGGCAGAACTCACTTTTACTCTTTAAAGCAGCCTGTTGCTTTAGGGTTAATTGGCTGGAATCCAGCTGCACTGAGCTTTTGCATTATGTATGATGAAGAAAAATAATAAATACTAACAAAACAAAACACAGTTTGTGATAGCCTTATACTATTATGATGTGTATCAGAGTGCAATTATACAAGATGGTCAGTATTCAATCCAGAATTTAAAAGCAATTGTGTAAGAGTTTCCTGCTGTGGCATGTCCCCAGTATCACACAACTAGTTGTACAAC